GGCGTCCCACGTAAAGTGGAAGAAGATCGGCACAGATGTTAGCTCAGGGCCAGTCTTCCTCAGCAAAAAGAGGAGGATTGGCATGCATGTTAGCTCAGGGCTGATCTTCCTCACCAGAAAAAAAAAACAAAAAGGGAAGTGACAGGGACCCATGTCTGTGATTTTAGTGCTTTTCTTGATGGAGTACATACCTTCCACAGCAGTGCATAGCTCAGGCAGGCAAAGCTTGACGTGTCAGAGTACTATGCCCAAAGCTGACAAACAACTGGAAATTAGGGAAAATCCGTAAAAGCAAGGAAATCACAGAATGGATAAGTGCCAGCCCTAGCCAAATCCTGGCTTATTGCCATATTTCACAGGTGTAGGGAAGAACCACAGGGCTTAAAAGCAGCAATAGAAAGATGTAAAAAGAAAACAGAGACATAAGCAACTTCATACCATGGGAGAGACAAGAGTTGCAGTTGAATCCAGGAAAGTTAACTGCCTAGTAACACAAAACCCAGTAATCCCTAGATGAACACAATAAAATGCAGAGTTGATACAACATATTATATACAATGTCCAGTGTTAACCAAAAATACTAGACACGCAAAGAAAGGGGAAATTGTTGAACTATATTCAGGATAAAAGACAGTCAATAAAAATTGTCTATGAGTGGGCCCAGAGGTTGCATTTAGCAGAAAAAGACTTTAAAGCAGCTATTATAAATAAGTTCAAAAAATTACATGAATATGTCCAAAGAATAGAAGGAAAGTATAGTATATTTGAATTAACAGGCAGTCTCAAGAGGGAAATTGAAACTATAAAAAAATGGAAATTCTAAAAGTGAAAAATACAAATGCTGAAATAAAAAAAATTGCTAGATAAGCTCAATAGCACATTGGACGTGGCAAAAGAATCAGTGAAACTGAAGATAGATCAATAGAAATTACCCAATCCAAAGAACCGAAAAAAGAAAAATTAAAGAACAGTGTCAAGAATCTTAGAAACCTATGGGACATTATAAAGTGGTACAATATATGTGTAATTGGAATCCTGGAAGGAGAAGATAGAAAATGGCAGAAAAAAATTGGAAAAATAATGGCTGAAAACTCTCCAAATTTAGTAGAAAATATTAATTTCAGATCTAAGAAGCTTTAATGAACCCCAAGCAAAATAAACAAAAAGAAATATACTCCTAGACACATAATAATCAGACTGCTGATGCTCTGTAAGCCAAACAAAACTCTTGCTGTAAGCAGCAAGAGAAAAATGACATGAAATGAGAAAAATGACATACAGGAAAATAATAAGATTTATGATTGATATATCATCAGAAACTATGGAAGCCAGTTAACATTAGGACAGCATATTTTTTTTTCTTTTTTTTTTTGCTGAGGAAGATTGACCCTGGGCTACCATCCATGCCCATCTTCCTCTACTTTATATGGGATGCTGCCACAGCATGGCTTGACAAGCGGTGTGTCGCTCTGCACCTAGGATCCGAACCTGTGAACCCCGGGCCACCAAAGCGGAGTGCTCGAACTTAACCGCCATGCCACTGGGCCGGCCCCAGGAAAACATATTCAAAGTGCCAAAAGAAAAAATTTGCAGACAGTAAAAAGATAAAAAAGGAATATTATGAGCAACTTCATAGCAATACAGTCAACAACTTAGAAGAAATAAACTCCTTGAAAGACGCAAACTACCAATGTTCACTCAAGAAAAAGTAGATTACCTCAATAGCACTATCTCAACATAATAAAGGCTGTGTATGACAAGCCCACAACTAATTCATATTGATGGTGAAAGGTTAAAAAGCTTTTCTTCTAAGATCAGGGAGAAGACAAGTATGCTCACCCTCACATAATACTGGCAGTCCTAGCCACAGCAGTTAGGCAAGAAAAAGAAAGAAAAAGCATCTAGTCAGAAAGGAAGAAGTAAAATTATCTTTGTTTACAGATGACATGGTCTTATATATAGAAAACCCCAAAGACTTCACCAAAAATTTGTTAGAAATAATCAATGAATTCAGTAAAATTGCAGGATACAAAATCAACGTACAAAAGCCAGTTATATTTCTATACACTAACAAACAATCCAAAAGAGAAATAAAGCAATCCCATTTACAGTAGCATCAAAAACAATAAAATATTTAGGAATAAAATTTAACCAAGGAGATAAAAGACCTGTACACTGAAAACTGTAAGACATTGATGAAAGAAATTGATGGAAATAATTGACACAAATAAATGGAGAAAGATCACATGTTCTTAGATTGAAAGAATTAATACAGTAGTCTCCCCTTATCCACAGGGGATACATTCCAAGACCCCCAGTGGATGCTTGAAACTGCAGGTTGTACTGAACCCTATATATACTATGTTTTTTCTATGTCTATGTTTTTTCTATGTGTATATACCTATGATGAAGTTTAATTTATAAATTAAGTACAATAAGAGATTAACAACAATAACTAATAGTAAAATAGAACAGTTCTAACGATATAGTGTAATAAAAGTTACCATAAATCTTAGCAACCTCAGCATGTGACTTAACCTTATTAAGTTGACTTAACCTTATTAAGTCAAGAACTTGCACCTTTTCGTTTAAGGGAGGCTCTTTATGGCTTCTCTTTGACGTATCCAAATTGCCAACATCACTACTCTTGTGCTCTGGGGCCATTTTTTAAGTAAAATATGGGTGACTTGAACACAAGCACTGCAATACTGCGACAGTTGGTCTGATAACTGAGAGGTTACTAAGTGACTAATGGACAGAAAGCGGATACAGCGTGGATATGCTGGACAAAGGGATGATTCATGTGCCGGGCAGGATGGAGCGGGACGGGTGGAGATCTCATCACACTATTCAGAACAGTATGCAAATTAAAACTTATGAATTGTTTATTTCTGGGATTTTCCATTTAATATTTTCAGACTGCGGTTGACTGCAGGTAACTAAAATCATGGAAAGCAAAACCACAGATAAGGGAGGACTACTGTATGGTTATAATGTCTTTAGTACGCAAGCAATCTACAGATTCAATGCCCCATTAATATTTCAGAGACATTTTTCACAGAAATAGAAAAAAACGTTTTTAAAATTCGTATGGAACCACAAAAGATCTCTAATAGCCAGAGCCATCTGGAGAACGAAGAGCAAAGCTGGAGGCATCACATTTCCTGATTTCAAGCTATATTAGAAAGTTATAGTAGTCAAAACAGTATGGAACTGGAGTAGAAGCAGCCACATAGACCAGTAGAGCAGAATCAGGAGCCCAGAAATAAACCCCTGCATACGTGGTCAACTGATCTCTGACAGGGGAGCCAAGAACACACGATGGGGAAAGGACAGTCTCTTCAACAAATGGTGTTAGGAAAACTGGCTGTCCACGTGCAAAAGAGTGAAGCTGGATCACTATCTTACACCACTCACAGAAATTTACTTGAAGTGGTTTAAAGAGTTAAATGTAAAACCTGAAACTGTAAAACTTCTAGAAGAAAACACAGGGAAAAAAGTTCTTGGTCATGGCATGATTTTTGGATAAGATGCTAAAAGCATAGGCAAGCAAAGATAAAATAAACAAATAGGACTATATCAAGCTAAAGTGTTTCTGCACAGCAAAGGAAACAATAAATTGAAACTGATAAAAGTACAAATCATATATCTGATAATGGGCTAATATCCAAAATATATAAAGAGCTCATACAACTCAATAGGAAAAATCAAATAATGTGATTAAAAAATGGACAAAGGACCTGAATAGACATTTTTCCAAAGAAGACATACAAATGGCCAATAGGCACATGAAATGTGCTCAGTATCATTAATCATCAGGGAACTGCAAATCAGCACCACAGTGAGATATCAACTCATGCCTGTTAGGATGGCTGTTATCAAAAAGACAAGGGATAACAAGTGTTGGCAAAGATTAGAGAAAAGGAAACCGTTGAACACCATTGATGGGAATGTAAATTGGTCCAGCCATTATGGAAAAGTGTATGCAGATTCCTCAGAAAATTAAAAACAGAGCTACCTTATGATCCAGCAATCCCACTTCTGGTTATATATCCAAAGGAAAAGAAGTCAGGATCTTGAAGTGCTGTTTGCACTACCTTGTTCACAGCAGCATTATTCACAATCGCCAAGATATGGAAACAACCTAAGAGTGGGTGGATGGCTGAATGGATAAAGCAAGTGTGATATGTGTGTGTGTGTGTGTGTGTGTATGTATATACATTGTGTATACATATAAATGTATCACTGTACATTTAAAATTGCTGAATTTTGTTCTATATAAATTATACCTCGATAAAAATGTGACAATCAGAAAGTATAAACAAGAATTAAGTCCATAACTGATGAGAATGGTGAGTATTTATGGGATTAGAAAGTTCAACAGGTTTTGGGATGTGGATTAATAGATGAAAAAGCAGAGGAGGTTTCAGGTCAGATGGGAGCCATGCTCATGTTGTAACCCAAGCTCCAGAGAGGATTTAGGCTCTTAGGATGGAGTAAGAAATGAGGTTTGCTCTGCAGTGCTAGTTCACTCTGCTGTGCAGAGCAGCAGTGGGGAAGAGAGATCAGAGGGCCTCCCGACTAAAGAGTTTGAACAAACTGCCTGGGGAAAATTATGGCTGCCAGTTAGTGTGGCAGGTTCCCCTGAGTAAGCCCCTCTAAATCCTGGCATATGGGGCTCCCAGCCTAAGGCCTGGCTTCCCTGCCACACACCTGAAAAGGAAACCTCCCAAATAGGTCCCACCCAGGGACAGAGGACCCAGTAAGTCTTCCATTCAACAATGAAGTCTATGAGGATAAAGGTCTAACTGACTCATTGTCAGAGGAAAGCTCTTGGAAGCAGTCCATTTTTCTCAAAGATGAACAAAGAACCAGGGGTCAACAAGAAAAAATTCAGTAACACAGAAGAGAAGGATTAAAATGATCAGAACAGCTGACCCATGGAAATATAATACATGAACTAGTAAAACAAACCACAGTCTTTACAAGGATTTGAGAAAATATTGCATCCATAAGACAAAAACAATGCTGTTGGAAAATACTGATCAACGCAATATTGCGTTTTGTTCGTTTCTGCTGTGGTGCTTTGTATATTACACTTTGTGTTAGAGTTATTTCTGATCATGTCTGTCTTCTCTCACAAGACTACATTCCTTTTTTTTTTTTTTTTTTGGTGAGGAAGATCAGCCCTGAGCTAACATCCATGCCAATCCTCCTCTTTTTGCCGAGGAAGACCGGCCCTGAGCTAATATCTATTGCCAATCCTCTTCCTTTTTTTTTCCCCAAAGCCCCAGTAGATAGTTGTATGTCATAGTTGCACATCCTTCTGGTTGCTGTATGTGGGACGCAGCCTCAGCATGGCTGGAGAAGCGGTGCGTCGGTGCATGCCCGGGATCTGAACCCGGGCCGCCAGCAGCGGAGTGCGCGCACTTAACCACTAAGTCACAGGGCCAGCCCAAGACTACATTCCTTGAAGACAGGATCATGGTAGTGACCGGTGATTACTGAGTGAATTTAAAGTTGGTAGACAGCCAGTTCTCTCTCAGCGTGTCCCTCGGAACTGCTGTGGGCTCAGATTCCGGGTCTGGTGACTGCCGTGTTCTGACTGTAGATTGTATTTATGAGACATTCAGGTTCGCTCAGTTTCCAAGGTAGTAGAGGTAGAGCAACACCCAGTGGGTTTTTGTTGATTCTACTTAATATGAAAATAAAACAGATAGTTCCAGTGGTTTTTTCAGGGCTGTTTACATGCAAGTATGTAATGACGTTGTTTTTCTAAACGTCTGTCTTGTCTTTGAATCCAGGGGCATCATGTGAAAGCGCAGGCTCTGTCTGGATTGGGAAGAAGTCAGGAAGTGTTGAGGGAGTTTCTCTACTGCCTTGCTTTAAATCCTGAATGCAACTCAGTGAAGAAAGAAGCACAGAAGGTGTGATTTCCTTTAAATGATGTTCTTCTTTAAGTCTCATTTACAGCCTTTGTGTCCGTGCTGAGTAACTGCTGCATGTAAAATAAACAAGAAATATAATTCTGGATATTCATGACAATGTGATAAACACACAGTAATAATGATAAGATCCATGCATTTGGTGACTTTCATCCATGGATAAAGCAGAATGTTTCATGAGACAGCACACATGCACATCTCAATTCTGCTGAAAGAATGACACGTGTTAGTGAGGCGGGGTTGATGTGTGAGGCTGGGGAGGCAAAGAGATTTTTCCTAGAGTTTGTAGTTTCAAGTGTTATAGTTTGTGTAGGAGCTTTATAAAAAACATTGTGATAGATGCGAAATATATCAGTTGAGCTGCATAAGTTGACTTGAAATTTTCAGCGTAGCTTCACCAGCATGATGCAGAAATATCTGCTCTTCTATGTTTAACCCAGTCTAGAGGGCATTGAGTCACACTTAATGTAGGAACCTACCCCATAAAAAAGCCTATGTAATAGTTACAGGCTTAGCACTTCCAGTGACCAGGAGTTCTTTTTTATATGTCAGTATTTTCCTCATTTAACACTATTGCCAGCTTTTACCGTACAGTTATCCTGTAATTTCTACTTTACAGTCTAGTTTTATCTTCTGGAGCAAGACAAAATCAGTTCTTCCTGCTTCATTCTAAACCACCTTAGATATTGGAGAACAGCTGTTATCTTTGCCTTAAGTCGTTCTTTGGACCAAACATCCTCTTCCCATAGAACAGGTTGTAAGGTTTCCTCCTCTGGATGCATTCTAGTGTACCCCAAGTTTCAGCACCCACATCTGACAACTACTGGTGGTGAACTCTTACCTTCTTTTGTGTTCATGTCATGAGGCGTCTTTATTTATTTTTAGCCTGATACCATCACATTGTTGGCTCCTATTAGAACTATAGTTAGCTAAAACACCTAGATCTTTTTTTTTAAATGAGAACTTTCTAGCGTACTTTTTATCCTTTTTTTTTTTTTTTTTTTTTTTGCAGTTGATTGTTCTTTGTTAATCCTGTTGAATTGTAACTCATTGGTTTTGGCCATTGTCTAAACTTGTCAAAATAATATGAATCTTGAGTTGGCTATTTTAACTATCCCTGCCTGCTTTGTCCCACCTGAAAATGTCACAAGAATCCTAAAATATATCATATCTCAGCTGATCTTTACAACAGCATAAAATTCAGCCTGAGGTCAGAGAGATTAAAGATTAAGCAGGTTCACAAAGTTCCCAGGACCGGAATTTAAGTCTCGTGCATTCTTGTCTGTCTGGTGCTTTTTCAGACATGATGTTTTTCCCTCCAGCGTTCTTTGGTAATAGATATCTTCTATCACAAATAGTGCCAAAATACTGCCAGCCTTTTGGTACCCGGGAAGCGTGGTACCCTGCCTGGCACCACCTGCTGAAGCTCCTCAGAGTCAGTGCTGAGGACACTGATGTCCCTGTTGAGATGCTGTTCTCGTTGCTGCCGAGGTCGTGGGTTCTGGTGCACTCACCTGTCACATGAGGAGCAGTGGGGGGATTCTTTGTTGAGGCGTTAGCCACTTCTTTTTGCCTCTCCTAGGCCCTTGGATTCAGCTGAGCCCAGAGGTTTGGCAGGACCCTCGAGTGACTGGCAGTCACTTCCCACCACCACCAAAAGCTGGTCCATGGGTCCTGAACCAGAAATATGGCCTTTCACCTGTCTTCATTTCAAGTCCTTTGCCAGGTGGCTCTTCTGATTCTCTTGTAAATTGAGCAGTCCTCTAGAAATATCTCAATCCTGTGGGTGATCACAGTTTAGAGTTAATCTGAGACCCCCTGTAACCTCTGTACCCCGCTTTTGTCTCTTATTCATGAGACTTTTAGAGAGATTTTCTGTAGAAGATGTGTAAGGACCAGACAGAAAGAAAGTGTAATGCTCATATTTTGTAATTGTTAAGACTAAAATGGAAAGGGACTGGGAGCTAAAGTGCTTACAACATTCACTGTGGTTTCAGAAACGTTTGAATTTTAAAATATTGTCAATTGGAATATGGTAATTATTCTTTTCAACGTTTTAGGCCTATTTGGCCTCACAGTTTCCTGTGAATGTGATATATATTTTTCAAAAGTGCTTTAACATTTTTTTCTTGGCAATTTTATAGGTAATGTGTGAGGTGTTTTTTCCAGCTTCAGAAAATGTGCATCCAAATTTAATCTCTTCCATCCAAAGCAGAACGTTGAGCACCAGATTAAAGGCTCAGTGTCGCAGCCATGTGAACACCCAGCCTCCCCTGGAAGAAGGTGATAATGCAGGGAGTTCTAAGGTATGAGGTGCTTGTGTTTGTCAGTATTATCTTGATCAAGCTTTGTGTAATTCCTTAATTTTGAATGTTTACAAGCTATTCAGACTGTGTGGCATTACGTTAGTTCGAAGTACTTCTCAAGACCAGTTCTAGCTCCTCAACCTGAGAGTTGAAACTTTTAAAGGAAATTGGTAGAAATTATGAAAATGATTGAAGATTGAAAGAAACTTTTAGACATTTCCAAACAACCCAAAGCATCAGGAGACTTGAAATTATTTATAATTATTTCTTTTCTCCAAGAAAAAGCAGGGGATGGTTATGAATATATGAAGACTGATGTTCAGTTGATCTTTCTCAGGAAGAAATCATCCTATATTTTACCGTGAAAAGTGTAAAGTTCATCTTGGAAGTTAATAGATGAAACCAATTATGAAGGAAGAGTATAAGCCCTCTTTTTTCCAAAGATTTCTAAGAAAGGCTACTGCAGGAATTTTTTTTTGTCTTATATTGTGATTTCTTTAATATTCAGGATGCTTTTTTCCTTCTTAACCAGAATGCATCTGAGAAATCCGATGTGTTTAGAAATGCCAGTTCTTCAGTTTTATGTTATATACTGGGTCTGCACTTTGAGGAGGATAAAGAAGTGTTAGAAAGTATCCTTCCAGTAGCACCCAGCACCGGTTTAAAGAGACAGTTTCCGGATGATTTGGAGAATGTGCAAGGCGTGAACACCCCTGGAAAAATTCCCAGAAAAGGTCAGTAAGCTGTTTGCCATGGACTTGTGTGACTCCAGAGTGAGAGAATGGCAGCTAATATTCAATATATTTAAAAAAATTTACACAGGTAGTTTAAAATTAATAATGAAATGAATATATCAGCCTTAAGATTATAGAACAGTTTAAATGGTTAATCCTTCAAGGACTTGCTAGAAATAGCAGAAAAAATTTAGATGTAGCTTAACTTTTATTTGTGCTTACTGTCTGGATCACTTATTGCTATATACTGTTAATTGGACAGGAACCTTTCCTGCCCTGCATGATTTGTTACATTGGTATAACACATTTTATCCAGAGGAAATACAGTTATTGCATGCTGTTATCCAGATGTGCAAGTGTTAATTATAGCATTTTAAATTTTTTCAGAGGCAGATTCCTCACCTCAAAAGAACATGAACCCTAATATAGGAGAAGGTCCAGAGCTCTCGATAGATGTAACTGACTTTGAGTGTGCCCTTTGCATGAGGTAGGATGATGTAGAATCTATGCAACTTGAAAAATTCAGCCTTTCTGAATTTTATATCCTAAACATAATGAGATTTTTATTATCAGAAAAATTACATATACCTCAGTAATAATTGATTTCTCTTTAAAAAATTTGATAAGGAAAATATAAATGGAAATGGGTATAAGTGATTTCTACAAAGTAAGGGAATTGCCTAAGGAATTCTTATTATAAAATAAACAGATTATTTGAAAGTTTCTTCTGGACACTTTTTCTGAAAACTCAGATGTGTTTTCCAGGTTGCTCTTTGAGCCCGTCACTACACCATGTGGACATACCTTCTGCCTGAAATGCCTTGAGCGCTGCCTCGACCACGCGCCACACTGTCCACTGTGCAAAGAGAAACTTTCGGAAGTGAGTATTTCTTGTGAAACGAGAAGACGGTTCCGCCCTCTTCTCATCCCTCAGTAGATGGTCAGTTCGTGGGTTGGCTTTGCTTCTACTACCCATTTTTTAAAGAAAGGCAGATTTCTCCAACCAAAGGTGGGTCTCTTTCCCATCTTTCTGAGTTCTCAAAAAATACACAGGGAAAGTTTGGATACAGAAACAACTAAATGTCAAGGAAATTTTCAGGCATGAATTATAGTTGAGATACATTGAAAATAGGTGACATTGTTGGAACACTTAGTATATGTTAATTATAAAGAGTTGAGATGACATTACTGAGCCCTTACCATATGTTAATCATAACAGACTGTGATGACATTATGGCGCACTTGACGGGCGTCAGGGATTCTCTCCTTTACCTCATCTCAAGGTGGAGTCATATTCATAGTACTCAGTTTTGCATAGGATTGAAGACTTGATCATTTCTGACTACTGGGAAGTCCCTTTGGTGCATAAGTATCTTTTGTCTGAAATCAAAACCAGTAAAAATTAAGGTCCATGGGGGAAGCTGTTTAATTATATCTAACCCAAATATACTAGCCTGGTGGTTTAGTAGTAAAGATCCATCTCTCTTACCACTGCAGCCTGTGTTCATTCCCCAGTCAGGGAACCACACCACCCGTCTGTCAGTTGTCATAGTGTGGTGACTGCGTGTGGCTGTGATGCTGACAGCTATGCCACCTGTATTTCAAAAACCAGCAGGGGCACCCGTGGTGGACAAGTTTCAGCAGAGCTTCCAGACTAAGACAGACTAGAAGGACCTAGCCACTCCCTTTGAAGATATTGGCCGTGAAAACCCTATGAATAGCGGCTGAGCATTGCCTGATACAGCGCCAGAAGGTGAGAGGAGGGCACAAAAGGACCAGGCAGGGTTCCGCTCTGCTGTCCACAGGGTCACTGGGAGTCAGAATCAACTCCACGGGGCTTACAACAAACTCAGGTATAAACTGTTAAATCCATACATTAGGTATGATAAATACAATAAATAATGTTTAAAAGCTGAATGCTTTTGGGTCAGTTTTTCAAATAATGAATGTGTATCAACTGTATTGGGCTCTGGTCCTGTTGGTGCCACTAACTTTCCACAAAGCAAGTTATTTAACTTCTTTGGATGGGAGGGAATTTATGTTTTCATCCATAAAATGATACTGATTATATTTTCCTTAATTACCTCCTACAGATTAAACTCACTTAATACATTTGAAGTAGGATAAAGTGATTTTTTTAAATGAGTGTACTGTAAAATTCATTTTTAAATCTGACATGGTAAAGGAGATAGTATACTTAAGTGAATTTTTAAATGTAACTAATAATTTTTAATTTACTGCTAAAACTTGTTAAAATAAGTTATTATAATTGAACCCTTTCTAAAATGTTATATATACCTACTTGCTTTGTTAAATTGCACTCCTACTGAATCTTTCTGCGTTATTCAGAGTTCTCACTGTGAACATCAACCATTGTGCTATGCACCATGCGTTGTGATGGTAGATGCTTTTTGAGTCTACGTAGCGGTTTCCGTTGGTGGTTCTACTCCACGGTGTTTGCTGTCTCTTCTTGCTAGCAGTGACATAGCATCTCACCTGCTGCCTTGTTGTACCCATGCTTGTCTGGGCCAGTGGGTACAGCCCTGGTGGAGATGCTCGCCTGTTCTCAGAAAGTGAAATGCATGTCTGTGACCATTGTTTGTATCACAGACCCTTCATTCACTTCTGTGTTCAGTGCTGCCTCAGAGGAGGCTATGCGATGAAGCGGTGTCTGGAGGTGGCACTAGAATTTAAACTCCTTAGGGACAGAGATGATTTCTGTTTTTCACTCTTATTTCCAGGGACCAGAACACATACTAGAGGTTCAGGAAATCTTTGCTGAATGAATGAGTGAATGACTGCATGCAAGCTATACGTAGATTGCCAATCTTCCAGAAATTATATTATAATAAAACTAAAATCCAGAATCATAATTTGATCTTTGTTCAATGCAGAAATCACTTCATGAATTTATACTTCCTCACATGCATTATTATACACATGATTTGTCAAATCTTTGTATCTACAGAAACCTTGTTAACATAATGCCAAGTAAAGCAAATTTTATTGCATTACTCTTCAATAAAAGGATACCATAAACTAAGTTTATAAATACCTATGTGATTAATAATGAAAACTATGAAGTAGTATTGTGAATTAAGTAAGACGTGTTTCTGCTGGTTATTCTGTACATGAGGTTCTCAAACACAGCTGTTTCCAGAGGTTGAACTCCTAGTTCTCAGTCAGTTACAGCAATATGTGTAGCTTTTCACACAAGCTGGAGGGAAACGTGGCGGTATGTCAGGACTCACCCAGACATACGTGTGTGGGAGTTGTGTAGAGCCAGAAATGCAGCAGGTTTCCAGAGAAACAGCAGCACAGCACATTGAAACCTACAGGCCTGGGGTCCTGACTGTGCCACGGTGGCTCTGCACTGGTCCCTTAACCTTTCTGAGACCCTGCCTCTTCTTTAGTGCAGTATAGACAATACCTGTAGTAAAGTGCTGTTTTAAGGCTAATATATGAAGCATCTGCAATTGGTACCTTATGTATATTAGAACGTCAGTGAAGAAGAGGTGTTATTTATAAATTCACATGCCTGAGATAAAAACAATGCACACACACAGAGTAATAGTTATTCAGCCGCATATGACCCTTCAACCCATTGATCCTAGCACTTTTTTATTCAGTTTCTACCTACTATCCCCTTCACATCTTGCTTTAATTCCTTGGTCCCTCACTCCCTTTCTCAACCCAAGTGAAGTCAACTCTGCGTTTTGCATGTGTCCGTATAAGTAACATAGCAAAGTGAGAGAAAAACCAGAAAATTGGGGAGATTGGTTTCAATTTAAATACACAGTCTTAAATCTTAGACTCAAAACATTAGTAGTCATTCTTACTATTCTTTCTAGTAGCTTCAGTTTTTCACTCTCTAAGATGATTATTTCATATTTCTCTTCTCTCCCAACAAATCCTACTCGCTTTCGCTCTTCCTCTCTGATATTATGACACTTGATTGAAAATCTAGAAGCCATCAGGATTGGGATTGCTTCATCCTTCCACCAGGTGAACACCTCCTGCCCTTTTCTCCTAGAGGAGGAACTGCCCTGCCTCGTCCCTGCCAGGCTGACCTCCGTGCTCTCATCCCCATCCCTTCTGTTTTTTCAAAGACCACACCTCTCTGCCTCCTTGTGGACCTTTCCGACTGGGAAGAGGGTGCTTTGCCCTTTAGAATTAATTACCACGTGGTATTATTTAACATTTTCTTTTGTTACAGTTGTTGGCAAGCAGAAATTTTAATATAACTATTCTAGCCGAAGAATTAATATTTCGATATTTGTCGGATGAACTGTCTGATAGGAAGAGAATATATGATGAAGAAATGACAGAACTATCAAAGTAAGTCCCCATGCTCTATGTCCGTGGTCTTGCATAGAGATTAAAGAAGAAAATCCTCATTAACCTCATAGCTTTATCTTGGTATTTTCACCCCTTGGCGGAGAAATCAGAAAGCCTCAAAATAGAAAAAAATATTAATTGCAAAGAGTTTATGGAAATAATTGAGATTATAAGACATATCTTAAAAGTGTGTTTTAACAAAATTGTGTAGTTGCTTTCTGTATCTAAATAAGCAAGATTGAGTTTTTCAGAATTGAAAAGGCACAGTATATATAAACAGAAGGGAAAACAGCATTACCACTCAAAATAGGCTTGACAGTTGTTTTGTTGTGTTGTTTTTTTAATTCACAGTTGTTTTTTACAGTTGTCTTTTAAAGTGATTAAAGTTTTGTTTTGTAGTAACCTTAACTATTGAGATCTTTTAATTCTTCAACTCTTTTTGTTTAGAACTCATTACCTTTGACTACTATGTAGTTTTTGCTTTCATCAGAATTTTTTTCTTATTCATTTATTGCTGTTTTTATTTTTATTGGGATATAATTGACATATATAACATTATATTAGTTTCGGGTGTACAGCATGATTGGGTATTTGTATATATTGCAAAATTATCACCACAGTAAGTCTAGTTAACATCTATCACCATACATACAGTAGTTACAGAATTTTTTTTTGTTGTGGTAAGAACATTTAAGATCAACTCTCTTAGCAACTTTCAGGTGTGCAATACAGTATTATTAACTACAGTTACCATGTTGTACATTACATCCCCAGGACTTATTTTATAACTGGAAGTTTGTACCTTTTGACCTTCTTCACCCATTTCTCTCACTCCCCTCCACCTTGCCTCTGGTAATCACCCATCTTTTGTCTGTATCTATAAGCTCAGTTTTGGGATTTTTTTTTTTTTAGGTTCCACATATGGGTGAGTGAGATCATACGGTATTTCTCTCTCTCTCTCTGTTATTGCACTAAAGATAATGCCCTCAAGGACATCAGAATTTTTTTTATACTAGTCATAAGCTATAACTTTTTCTAAGTAAACTAATACAATTCAACATGTTCTCTATCATCAAATTAAATAAGAGAGTTTTGGCAGGAAACCCGGGTGAGCTGAGAACTTTCTTATAGTGTGGTCCTTGGCTTTCTTTCCCACTCAAGACTGAGGCAGGCCTCGGTTTTATTTTGTAAATGAGAGAATTGAGGTTGCTAGCTTTTGCTTGCCCTTTTATAATGACTAATACTCCCTTCTGTTTCTAATCGCTCCTACATCTAAGTTAACCTTTTCCTTTACCCTACAGTCTGACCAGAGACGTCCCCATCTTTGTGTGCGCCATGGCCTTCCCCACTGTCCCATGTCCACTCCACGTCTTTGAGCCCCGCTATCGGCTTATGATAAGGAGATGCATGGAAACTGGCACCAAACGCTTTGGCATGTGTTTATCTGCTGAGCACGCAGGGTGAGAATTATCAGCATTCAAAGGATCCTAATTAAATGTATCATTTGTCATTTTTCTTGAAGAACGGTTGAGGATGATGTTGAAAATCTCCAGTGGCTCCCATCACATAACAAAGTATAAATTCGAGCCATCCATGATGTGATCTCAACCTTCTTTCTAGCCTCTTCTCCTACTCCTTCCTTTCAAACTTTGTACCTGCTGGTCCACTATGATATCATTTGTCCTTCTCTCAATACAGTTCATGTTTTCATACCTCCATGCTTCTCTCTGCCTGCAGTTTTCTTTTAGCTCATCAATTTACAAATGAATCTGGTCCAACTTTTCAGATCTTAAGAAAATTGCTACATCCTCCACAAAACCTTTTTTTATCTGCACAGCCAGAAAATTTTCAGTCTTATAAAACCCACAGCACTTGGTTTTTACCTCTCCTTGTTTGACATCATTTATCTAGGGAAGATGTTCCAAATCAGCAGGCAGCTCCCCTCCGTGGGCTGCTTTGGGAGTTCTGGGTCCTTCCCATCTCTTGGCTTCCTGAGCCCCTAGGGCTTTAGCAGCACTGCTTGGTCGTGATGAGGTCACTACATCCAAGTTCTGGCTGGTGGAAGAGGCACATGTGCTCTTAAAGGATTGTGGAGAGAAGGGACATACATCCTTGCTGCTCACACCTACTGCAGAGGAGGCTGGGAAATGCAGTCCACCCATGTGCTCAAGAAGAAGAGGAGAATGAATTTTTAGGGCCACCTACTAGTTTCCACCATAAATACTTTAGGAACAGATCATTTTGAATATATGTGTAGGACCTTTATGGAGAAAATTCTACTTTATTGGAAGACATTCAAGGAGATCTAAATAAATGTAGAGAAATACCATGTTCATGGATGCATAGACTCAATGTTATAGAAATGCCAGTTTTACCCAAATTAATCTATAAATCCAGAGTAGTTTCAGTCAATATCCAGGAGGGTTTTTTTCATGGAATTGCTCAAGCTGATTTTAGAATCAGAATGGAAAAGCAAAAGACAGACTAAGATCATGATGGTTTTGAAGAAAACAGCTGAGCAAGATGGGAGAACATTCCTACAATGTCAGACTTACAAGTCATAGTAAGTAGACCATTGAAACAGAGTATAGAGATAAGAAACTGATCCACTCATATGGACTTCAAATTCATATATAGTTTTATGAGAAAACGCAAACTACTCAATAAAAGGTACTCAGAAAATTAGTGGGTAACCCAAATGGGGAAAGAAATCTCTTCTCTGCCTTATATCATACACACAAAATAATGCATTTACATTCCCAGTATGAAATGTGGAAAACAAAATATTAAAAAACTTAAGAGAAAGTGTTGGGGACTATTTTTATAGTTAGGAATAAGGAAAGAATTTTTTCTTTTTTTACACAGGATGCTGAAGACACATAGTGTAGAGGAAGAGATTAATTTGAATATATTAAAATTTGATTCATCAAAATCAGCAAAAGCAAAGTGAAAAGACAAGTTCCAGAAGTTCCCCTCCCACCGAGGACATAGAGCAGTGTGAAGAGTGTTACTCTAGATAAATTACAGAACATAAGTTTCTTGCGCCCATCAGAGTGCGTAGGTTGCTCAGGGCAACGGAGGAGAGCCAGGTCCCTCCAGGGAGAGAGTAGACAAGAGCCCTGGCTCACCTGTGGCAGAGCTCCAGAGAAGAAGACGTACAAGTGTGCAGGAAGAATTCAGCTAATTTTTTTAGCAAATTTCTAATGGCCGCCTGTGGACAAGTGTGAGAGTCTAGGTCCCCTTGGAGCTGCGGATGCAGGGGGAGTTTGTACCCACTCACAGGTTCCCGTCCACAGATGGGATGCTCCTTGGAGAGACAGGTTCTGCAGTGGAGACAGACTTTGGAGGGGCCGACATTTGAGGCTGCCTGCTGGTCACTGGGGCTACAAGTCCTCCGTTGAAGGGGATTTTCAGGGTGCCTCCGTGCACGCCACAGCTGTAGATAAGATAGTTCTGTTAGATAACCAGGAAGAGACAGTTGTATTAGAGATCTCAGAAGGGGTGTCCAGCAGGCAGTTGGCGTGTAACTTGAGAATCATCACTCATCATTAGTTTGAAGATGTGTAGTGAAGTTGTTCATTCGCTTTAGAATCAGATAGCCTTGGGTTCAAATCTTGGCTTTAAATCTTAAACTGTGTCCTTAGATAAGTTGTTTAATTTTTCTAAGCCTCCTTGTTTTTGTGAGGCTCAAGTAAGTACATATTGTAAACTGCTCTGTGTAGAGCTTGACACAGGGTAGGCACGCTCAGTATCATCAGGATACAGACGACAGTTAAAAACTGCGAGGGAGGGTACGATCACTGGGAGAGCTTGGAGGGAGGACACAAGTAGCCAAGGATGCCCTCGTGGGTAGTCTCAGTGTGTAAGGGGCATTTGGAGGAAGTGAGCTGTGAAGGGCTGGATTGGTCAGAGAGGGCAAAAGGAGAGCAGCAGAGGGTGTTGGGTCAGTGAAGGTCAGCAGGGTCATGCGACTTCTGCTGGGGTCGTTTCAGTGAGACACTGGGATATTGAGGTGTGAAATGGAGACAAGGAGATGAAGGCAGTGATTGTAGATGACTTTCCATAGCAGTTCGTTGGGGAGGATGGAGTTGACCAGCATCGGTGGAAGTGGAGGAGGAGGGAGCAGAGTCTGAGTGACCTGGGGGCCTGGGCAGGGTCTGTGCTTTCTGGAGCTCCTGACGGTGCTCCCTGGCCAAGGGGGCTGAGGATTTAAGAGTCCATCTCTCTCCATCCCTTGGGTCCTTCTCAAAGCACGAGCTTGTTTGAACAACTGAGGCACGAGTGCTCTCTCACCTCCAGCCCTTCCTCTGCAGCCATTGCACACCAGTATACTTCCCATTTACCAGAAGGAATCATCTGCAGGTGTCTCAGAGAAAATAACCTTGGTGGTTCCATGTGGAGACACCATTTGTTTTGTTTGATTTTTTATTCGTTTAAGACCCAGACTTACATCTAGGGAAAACTAAAGACTTCCTGCATTTTTTAAGTCATGGTCATTTCTCCGGACTGTCCTTTCAGGATTTCAGAGTATGGCTGCATGCTGGAGATTAAGGAGGTCAGAACCTTCCCTGATGGGAGTTCCGTGGTGGATGCCATTGGCATTAGTCGGTTCAGAGTTTTAAGCCACCGTCACAGAGATGGCTATAACACGGCAGACATTGAATATCTTGAAGACGAAAAGGTGAGGTTTATTTTACTGGTGTATGTTCAAGAGGTCAGTCACCTTATTTCCCTCTGCATTGTGGAAAACACTTGGTCAAATTTTTAATGACAATATTACTTATTTCCTTCTTAGTTCAGCACTTAAGTTATTTATTATCTCAGATTTTTTCCTGATTTGGAGCTGATAGAAAAATACTCTCCCCCTGAAAAATTTACCTTATTGCCAAAACTTGCAAAATGGGTTTGGGATTCATTGTTTTGATGTTCTGGTCCTGAGATGGGCAAACTTTTTCTGTAAAGGGCCGCACAGTAACTACCTTAGACGTTCCAGGCCACATGGTCTCTGTTGCCACTGCGTAACTCTGCTGTCGTAGCACAGAAGCAGCTGTAGGCGACATGTGAACGAATCGCCATGACTGGTTTCCACAAACGTGGTATTTGCAAAGACATGCGACTAACAAGTTGACTTGTGAGCAGTAGTCACTCTGAACTAGGTAGTGGTATCAGTTCAGAGTGAGACACAACATAAAACAGTAGTGCTGAGAAGTACCTTCTGAAGCTGAGTATAAAAGGCTTGGATCTCTTATCCCTTAGGAATTATGTGTGAGTCTAATAGAAATATCAGGACACGTAATTTGACAGATTAACAAAGTGTTTTGAAGGGATTCTCAAAAATACTTGTACAAGGATGTCCGTAGTAGTCTTATTCATTAAGCAAAACTGGAAACAGCTCAGATGCTCATCAGCAGGTGAATGTATAAGCAAATTGTTGTATATTCATACTGTGAAATATTACTTGGCAATAAAAAGGAGTGAACTACTGATGCACAGAACAACACGGATGAATCTCATAGACATTATGCTAAGCCAGAGGAGCCGGACACTACAAAAAATGTGTACTGTTTGACTCCATTTATATACTTCCAAGAATGGACATAACTAGCTTCTGGTAGTAGAGGTCGGAGAGTGGTTGTGGGGTGGGAGTTGTGATTGACTGGAAAGGGGATGCAGAAATCCTTCCAGGTGGCTGAAATGTTCTCCATCCTGTTTACAATGGTGGTTTCACTGGAGTATACAGTGGACAAAACTCTTTGAGCTAAACAATTAAGATCTATGCATTTTTTGTATGTAAATTATGCTGCAACAAAAACATTAAAAATATATAGGAGGAGGAAATCCTTGGATTGTTGTATCCCTCTTTTGAATTCTTTGGTTCGCATTGAGAAATGTGGAAATGGAGAGTCTTTAGCCATCTCACATCACACTGGAACTCACTTTGGGGACAGCGGTGTTCACTCGTGACACCTGTGAGTAGAGTCACACCAAAGTGCCAGCTCTGTCCCCTTTCCAGCTGCTGTTTCAGGTCGTCTGTGAGCACAAGGCCTCGCAGTGCGGAGGAGCAGAGCACAGCGAGTCCAACTCCAAGGTGTCGGGACCAGGGAGCTGGGTTTAAAGGCTGTGACTGAAGGTGATAGTTCTCAGGGTCCCTCTGCTGCCCTGATAACAAATCTGATGGAGGGTTTATCGACTATTGTTGTGGATGATGGCTTTGAATGGCGTATGTATTTATTTTAAAATGGGGAGCCTAAATAGCTACAACATGAAATAATTTTAGTGTTTTTTTTTTTTTAAAGAAAACACTCCACTATATAGGAATATTTGATTTGTATAGATCAAATTGAGAATGGTTATATGTATTACAATCTAATTCCTTAGTTTACCATAGTTTTCATAGATACTGGAATTTGATAACTAGACAGGACCTTAATGGTCTATTCCCATTTTACAGATGAGAAAACTCTGTCCTAAGGAGGCTATGTGACTGGCTAAAACTCATCCGTGAGAGTCAGTGATGAAGCTAGAACAAGCCCCCCAGGCCCCTGATCCCCAGTCCTTGCACTTCCCACTCAGGTTCCTAAGTAGGACCGAGACATGCTTGAAATGAGTGACTTGACAGGGAGATGGGTGCCCAGAAGCAAAGCATGGTAAATCTAAAGTGTTAGGGCCACCACTGACATGAGGCCAATGCAGTGAGTGCACTGTAGCTGGAACATCTGTTGGAATATAGTCTGGTGATATGGAATATAATTTTTAAACTAACTCTTTGACTTGGGTGTAAAGTTTTTAAACTGTTAAACTCTTCTACTTCTAGGAAACTGTCCTGAGGGAATGACAGCCCCTTCTCTCACCACAAAAAACCCCCAAAAAACCACTTTTGCATAAGTATTTATATTACTGTGTTATTTTTAAAAATGAAAAATTGGGAATGATGTTAACATAGCTTATGAGAATGGTTGAGTAAATGATGGTATAGCTCAAATATATGATTGCATGTAGCCATGAAAATTATTCATAATAGCATGGGATATGTGCTTATATTGTAGTGTTGAGAGAAAAATCAGAATGCGATAGACAGGATAGATAGATCTCCACTATGTAAAAAAAGTGCAGTTTCTATGTTGAGCATGTATCTTGTTTATAAAACACTAATGAATTATCAAAGTAATTAATGCCATGAATCCCATTTAGCAGAAGCAGCAGAGGTCACTCACTGTATTTCGTGTGTAATAATGAATTGTTAAACTGGTCATGTCTTTTTCCTTGGTCAGGTAGAAGGTCCCGAGTATGAAGAACTTACCACTCTTCATGATTCAGTTTATCAACAGTCTGTTTCCTGGTTTACTTCACTTCGAGATCACATGAAAGAACAAATTTTAAGTCATTTTGGGTTAATGCCAGACAGGGAACCTGAGCCTCAGGTACGTTCTCCTTTTTTCTTATATGATGCTGTGATTTCCAGTTGTGATGTGTGGTGGTATTATGTTATATACTCCATGTGCTTATGAACCAGTTCATTTATTAACAGCCCAAAGAAGCACCTAATACAGTAGCATGTGCCTTTTGGAGCAAAGCAATAAATGCTTTCTGATTAATGCTGCATAAAGGTAATTTCTTTTCTATCAAAAATCAGTTTATTCTGATCAGCTGTCAGCTTTTGTACTTTTACTTCTCTCATCAGCATCGTAAGATTTAAATAGCAATTTTGGTTTATTGGCATCAACCCTCCACATTTGGTGCATCACATTGCCTGGCACCTAATAAACAGGTGTCACATAAATGAAGAGCAAATCTCCTAACTCCTGTTAAGTCAGAAGCTTGTGCCCTTCTGTTCGCTCGTCATGGGCTTCTGCTGGTGCCCCGCAGGAGGGCTTTCGGTGACGCTGGTTCTTTAAGCAGTGAATGGGCTTCAGGTGTGCGCAGCATTTCTGCATGCCAGTCACTCCTCTCCTCTGCGTTTGGGTGACAGAGCCAGGCAGCGATGGTTTAGGATTGTGACTGAGAGCATACAGTTCCCCCTACTGTACACACACACCCCTCTGGAGAAAGGTAGGGAGGGACCAGCTCTCAGTGGGTTTAGGCTCAGATGAAATGTCTTTTGTGTCTTTTCCATCCATTTTTATCTTTTCCTGTCTCTTGAGGGCTTCTGTCTTTTACCACCACCTGAGTTCTGTCTTTTCCAAACTCAGGACAGTGCTTTAAGACAGAAATTGCCTCTGAATCCTTCCTCACCTTCCACTTTCCCATAACCCCCTCTTCCTACTCTGCATTGTAGCTCAGATTCAGGGAGCAAGGCGGTTAGACTAATTCGAATCAAGGTATAAATCATTCTTTTCTGTAGGGAGTTTTGCTTATTAATCCAAATTAGTCTCTAATTGGGAGATACAAATTACACAAATGTAGTGGCTTAAGACAACAGAAATTTATCTTACAGTTCTGGAGGTTGGAAGTCCGACACAGGTCTCACCAGGCTCTGATCAAGGTGATGGCAGGACTTGATTCCTTTTTGGAGGTTCTAAAGAATCCATTTCCTTACCTTTTTAGCTTCTAAAGTCTGCTGGCACTGCTTGGTTCTTGCCCTTTCCTCCATCTTCGAAGCCAGCAGTGTTACACTGTCTGACCATTCTTCCACAGTCACATCTCTCTCTGACCACAGCCCAGAAAAGTTCTCTGCTTGAAGGATCTGTGTGATGACATTGATCCCACCAGGATAATCCAGCATAATCTCTCCATCTCAATGTCCTTAATCACTTCTGCAAAGTCCCTTGTGCCATGGAAGCTACCATATTCACAGGTTTCAGGAATTAGGGAGTGGACACTTTTGGGAAACTATTTTTCTTCCTACCACAGAGGATTTTAGGTAGTACATGGGAGATAGTTTTATGCTGAGCCCTTCCCATTAAGCATGCCACTCAGTTTTTCCCCACTCTGTTAGATGAGGAGGGAAAAGGAGAGTTGTGAATCGTGTAGAAGGTCGTTTTCTCCAACCCTTGGAAGGGAGGCTGGTGCCTTCCTCACAGTGGCTTGGCTGCTGCTGTGCACTTTGGCCTCAGTGTTACTCCTAATCTTTCAGTAGAAGCTACCTCACCCTAAGCTAAGGTGACTCCACAGTCCACCCTCCCTGGTTCTCAGCTGGAATTCTGCATTGGAAGATGCCTCTCTTGCAAGCCCTTTTGTGAGTTCCCCCACACTTAGATGTGTAATGTAAGAGTAAACTGTATTTTGAGGGCTGGATGAATTGTGAAGTAGACCTAAGTTAGGAGGTGGCACTTAATTCTTGCTCATGTTTGTTGGTGAAATAAAAGACAGCATTGGAAGGATAGGCTTGATAGGCTTGTATTTTAGGCGATAATTTTGTGGTTTCCTTTCCTTTCTTTTGCAGAGTAATCCTAGTGGTCCTGCTTGGTCCTGGTGGATCCTGGCGGTGTTGCCATTGGAACGCAAGGCTCAGCTGGCTATACTCGGCATGACCTCGCTTAAAGAGCGTCTGCTCGCCATTCGGAGAATGTTAGTCATCATCACGCGTAAGATGAATAGTTGGCAAGAGCTGGTTAATAGCAGAGAGAGAAATAATTGATTTTCTCTCTCTGTCAAGGTTTCCGGAAGCCATTGTACTTTCATGAGGAATGTGAGGAGGGGACGAGTAGCATCCCATTCATCGCATTTTGTAAAATGCCTGTTGATAGTGTTACAACATGGAACACTTAGCAGATATTGACTCCTACTCAAAAGTTAAGTCTGTGCCTGGTGGAATCTGACTCTGTACAAGGTTAGCCTGAAGTTTGAATGGAGCCCATGGTTGGAAAACAACCTAAGAACATCTCTTTGAAGCAGATGTTTCTGGCGTGTGCAGTGCACTGACAGCATGGGCACCACAGATGGTTTACAAATGGTTTAGGTTTTTGCAAGGAAGAAGGAGTCCCTTCCTAGTAAAGTACCTTGCTACACCAGATGGGAACAGCGTGCTTCAGTGGCCAGACAGTAAGGGGGCAATCATATTTTTATCTGGATGCAGATTTCTCAGAGCACGGGCTAACCAAAAATGTGCTTAGCTTTTGTGTGTCACTGTGAAGTTGTCTGTGAAATTGAGGAATCAAACCATTGTCCAGTGCAGGAGCCGAAATTAGGCCTTACCCAAGAAGTAGCCGCTGCCGGATAGAACTGTGTTTTGTTTTGTGTCCTGCAGTGGTTCAGTTGTTGGAAATTGCATGTTGTAATCAAGTGAATGTCAAAATACAGAAAGTGTACCTTGGAGATAGGAAAATCCGAGAACAGTATAGTTGATTTGAAGGGATGTGTGTTTATACACACTCAATAAAGAGCAAAACTGAGTTAAAACTGTACATGCATTGGGATGTCAAGCCTATGACCAAACTAGTGCAAAGAACCCCTTGAAAGCATAACCCTGTCTCAAAAGATTCCTCATTTAGGAATCTTTTCATCTTTCTACTAGGATTTCCATTAGAAATTAGGCCCATCAGTAAATATGAGTTCACCACCCATCCACTAATGCACGAAGACATTAAAAACCTGCTCTGAAATGGAAATCTATCTATTCTAGGAAAACATACTGGGAGAAAATTCAAGGAGAGGGAAACTGGTAAGGGATGTAAATATTCAAGTTTTTCTCCAACACAAACCGAAAAATTATCTTTGTATTTTTTGAAGTTTTACAGTGATCAGAGCAGGTGTTACCTATTAAAAAACAATACCTATAACTTCCAGCCTCTAGTGCGTATTGCTAACTTTGATTGGAATAACCATGTGAACCTGAGATACTGAACTGTTCTCACTGGCCCAAGCAGCTGGTGCATTCAATTAACTGAAAGATGATGAGGACCAGACTAGAGGGCAAATCACAGCTGTAAGTTTTGCTTTATTCATTCAAGGTATATATATGATTTTGAGTTTTAAAAGATAGATTGCATAATACCAAATGTTGGTGCTTTATTGTTCTATCAAGCATTTTATTAGAAAGACCTTATAATAGTATTTTTTTTTAATTGTAGCCCTTTTCAGTAGCTAAAACTCAGTTTCATCGTGTGAGTTAGAAAACACTACTAGTGGAACTTAGTCATAGAGTGAAAATGTGAAAGTATTTTCCAATGACATGTTTCCAGTCCCTCACTATTGTCAATCTCAAATCTCATCTTGAACATGGTTTACAGGCAATTTGGCCAAGTGGTTTCTAAAAGATTTTATTAATTCATGCATTAACAATAATGTTCAACTTTCTTAGGCATTATAACCTATGCTGATCATTTAAAGGAAAACAAAACTGTATCTGGTATGCCAGGAGACCTTTGTTAAAATGGTTCATGGAAATTGGTGTGCATTGAACATTCTCTGTCTCTTTTGGAAAATCATTTTCTACCTTAAAACTATATAATTGTTTCCCTTTGTGGATGTCTAAATAACCACAATGTGATCATAATTTCTCCAGGAGCCTTCCTGAAGTTAGGTGTCTATGCTCAGAGTATGCAGGCTTTCCCCGTAACAACTGGATGCTATTGCTCTCTCAGCCTCACTCCTTAAATGTCATAACTCACACAGTTCTTTAACCAGAACCATTAAGTTATCTCTTCCTGAATCTTTCTACCTCTTTCTGAGTCGTCTTCTCATTCTGAGTGTTCTTATGTGAAGCCTGTTCAATAGTAGTGATGCAGACTAGAGCAACGAAAGTTTTTGTTGTTTTTGTTTATTGACACCAAAGGGAATTGACTGTGATCACTTCATGCCCAGTCCAGCATCACACCTCCGCGGAGTACAAAGCAGGAGTGGATTGCTACTTCCTGAGCACTTAGGCTACATTGTTTATCAGGAAGTCGCACCAAGGAAATAGTATCCTGAGTCACATTATGAAGGAGGCTTCCTTTTATAAACTTAAAAAAAGAAAGAAACCCAAACTCCAGTTTGCTACAAATTGAGCTAAAGCAGAACAATCCCCTGCCTCCTCCCGCGCACCTCTTTTCTGTCATGGAGATGTCATTTCTAAGGATTTCTCAGAAAATAGTGTAATCTCTTGTTGGAAGTCAGAGCATTCCAATTTAATTTTACTGAAAATGTTCCAACGCTACCGCTCTAGTTACATCAGAATAAAAACAGAATCTACTTAGAGTAATAACAGTATGGGGGAGTAATTTTTCTTGAAGTACAGTGCACTGTTAGGTATTTTTCCATTCACTCTCCTAAGTGGCTTGACTCATCATTCCATCCCTGCCTGTGTCTTTGAAATGCAACTGATACCCTGACAGGCAGGATTCTGAAAGCCCATGAGATTTTTAGGGTATCACATCCCTTATGTGTCCCCGTCTTCAGACTTGAAAGAATATTTTTTAAAGTTCCAAATGAAAACAGTTTAAAATTTTAAGATTTATCCGTGCAACCACAATAATTTTTAATCAATTCAAGTACCAAATTTCGAGTGTTATCCCATTTCTATGACCAGAAATATGTCCTTTCTTCTCCTAACCCCTCTGCCTAGACCAAAAAACACCTAGACTATTTACTAAGTTGTATCTCAATTCTTGATTTACACCAAGTCTTACCAGAGGGCTTTTGAATCATCAAGGAACAAAGTTAGAGATGGTAGAAGTACCATGCACTGCGGTATTATCATTTTGTCATCAAGTTATTTGAAAATTGGCAGCTGTTAGAATCAAAATACTCCATTGCCTGACCTAGCTATATTATGCCTGCCTTTTAAAACTGCTCATCTGTTTCTTTTCCTTTCTTTCTTCTTTTGTGTTTACTCCCACCACTTAAATTGCTTGGGTAAATACTACTTGTTACAATTTAGATGCTATCAAATAATAAAAAATAAATGTGAAAGATATGAAGAAGAAAGATAGTAACACAGGAGGAAAATAAATGTGGGTGGTTTTGATTTATTTGTTTAAAGCACAAGGTTTTATTTTTCCCAAATACACCTGTGGAGTAGGGCAGGGAGGGCCCCGAGGGCCCCGTCTCCCATTTTTAACATGGATAGCAGTGGCGGCTGGCAGAAGCTCTTCCTCTGTAGTGCCGGTCCTACTAAAAGGCCCTATTCTGATTCTGTGGTTCACCAAACCTGATTCCCAGGGAAGCTAGATCTGAATGGTTAGGGTAAGCTGTGCCAGCCACACACAGGGGGAAAATTGACCCCTGAATGTTGCCAAATATCACCTGTTCTCTACTAAGGCTAGATACTTAATTCTGAGCCATTGACTTCTGACTCCTAGGAGAAAGTCTCTTCGTCTTTATAACTCTTCACCTTAACCTGAACCTCTCAGCTGCTAAAAACTCTTAACCAAAATCTGCTGAATCCTATAAAGTAGCTTTTGGTAGAAGATCTGCTTTTAGGTGAATATTAGAGTATTGAATGTTAGAATATTGTGATAGCATAAACTAATGGAGAAATTAAAGTGCCACCATTGCACTCAGCCATGCTGGGGACATTAGCTCTGATTTGAGCCCAGGTCTTAATTTATAAAGGTAACTGAGTGACAGCACAGAGAAGTCAGTGCTGTTGAAAGAAGAGTTTATTGTTACAGTTCTGCTAGCAATGAGGAGTGTGGCATGACATGCAGGGCCACGTGGGGAAGCACGAGAGTCAAGAGAGAGAAGCAGGAGCGAGGGGAAAGCATGGAGGAGCCTTCACCATGTTTCTGTGGAAAGGTCAGGCAGGGCAGAGAAACAGCTTAGGGTGGGCTAGTTCAAATAATGTCAGTGGGCTCTGGGCTCTAGGAATGGCTCCAGTTGTCTGGTACCGGCCCTGAGTAATTAAGGCAGAGGCTTATTGCCTCCTGGAGTGTAAGAGCCGGACAGAGGAGGAGGCTCAGAGTGTGGGCTCTGGATTGGTTGGTTTTCATGTGAAAGTCGTGCTCCCTGGTGGGCCCTTTGCTGTCTCTAAGAATTGGCTAGTCCATGGAGGGGCAGTCTCCCGAGTCAGTGAGGCCCCCATGGTGTCAAAAATATCATAAAGTATTTTTTTTTTTTTCTGAGGCCATCAGCCCTGTGCCAGCATCTGCCAATCCTCCTCTTTTTTTATTTGCTGAGGAAGACTGGCCCTGGGCTAACATCCGTGCCCATCTTCCTCCACTTTATATGGGACGCTGCCACAGCATGGCTTGACAAGCAGTGCGTTGGGGCCTGCCCGGGATCCGAACTGGCGAACCCCAGGCCGCTGCAGCGGAGCGCTCGCACTTAACTGCTTGTGACCCCGGGCCGGCCCCTCATAAAGTATTTTTTAACACATGATTAATACAGTTGGTCCTCTGACGTTTTGATATCATATTAAGGGGACTTCGGGGTGATGATAATGGAAAATTTTAGAGAGTAGGGCATAAGTTAAACAGCATAGAAAGCATGTTATTATGAGAGTATAAAGGAGGAACACCAGTAGAGGGATAAGGAGTCCTTGAGGCCAGCCCATAACTAAGTTCCTCATTTATATGCCATTAGCCAAGGGTCTTCAACAATATCTTGGTGGAGTTGTAAAATGTGTTAAAAGTATGAATCTGATAATAATATCTTGGTGCATTTCTCAGATCAAGATGGCAGGTCCAGCAGTTATGTTCTTGGAGGGTATGATCTGATAATTTAGCAAAGTATATTAAAGATTAGTGGTATTTGTTTGTAACCAAGGGAAAGGAGTGGTTGTGGTTGGA